TCTGAACATTTGCCCAATCGAGTGGCTGTGATAGCAGATAAATGGTGATTTGGCATAATAGTTAAAAGAGAACATTTGTGTCAAGCATATTGTAGCATTTGGGAAATGCCTAATCTTCCTAAGTAAATCTATTTCCTATGGGGAGATATGGCGTTCATTCAACATCTTCCCACTTCATTCTCAACTCTGTCTCACAAGAAACAACACAAAGATTGGAAGTCCCCACTAGATATACTACTGAAGAAGAAGCAACTAAATCCATTTTAACAGTGACCTATGAACATAAGGGAGTCCTAAGTGGGACAGCAAGCAGACACTTGTTTCAGAAAATTCATCCTGACTTTCTGAAGTTATTCAAAAGCAGCAATGTTATACTTGACCCAGCCGCTTTGAAAAGTTTGCATTTTTGAGCCAAGGTTATTTTTCCTACTAAATAAATGAGGGTTTTTTTAGTGGTCTGCTGTGAGAGCTGCATGTCACCACCAACAGTTTAAGCCCTTCCCTTGAGTGAATTATTGTTTTTAGCAGCTGTGCTAATTGGTCAGTCATTAATTCTCTTTGTGGAATATTTAGTCTCCATCTATATATTTCTCCATCCTCAACAACACAATTCTTCTTCTCACTTTCCTTTATATGGGACATTAACTCCTAATTCTCACATAACTCCTATGGTAAATAGCTTCTTTCTTGTGTCTGTAGTATACTAGTTATATAGGTTTATGATTTGTGTGGTTTCAAAACACTAGCCAAATATGTGTAACATATCTCCTCTACTCTATTAGAGGCAAAATTATTATGTGACTGTTTTGCTTTGACATTCAACAGATCTAGCAATGATGTAGCTCCAGAATATCTATTTAGAGATTTAAGAACACACTCTACTAAAGCAAAGATGTAGATTCTAGGCTAGGTGCGGTGGCTCAAGCCTGTAATCCTAACGCTCTGGGAGGCTGAGGCAGGAGGACCACTTGGGGTCTGGAATTCAAGACCAGCTTGAGCAAAAGTGAGATCCCCCTTCTACTAAAAATAGAAAAAGTTAGCTGGGCATATTGGTACTTGCCTATAGTCCCAGTGTCTTAGGAGGCTGAAACAGGACAGATTGTGATTCAGCATCATTCTATTTATAATTCTACACCTCAAAATACCATAATTTGTGATCATGCATATGTCACATCCTCTTAATCCTTCCAATTCATTTAGTATCAGGTAGGGCTCAGGTGTGCGGTATATGCATTCCCCAAAAGCCTGCTCTCTACATTTTTTCCTGCACACTCCCTGGAGCTCAGGAGTTTGAGGTTTCTGTGAGCTAGGCTGACACCATGGCACTCTAGCCTGGGCAACAGAGCAAGACTCTGTCTTAAAAAAAAAAAAGAAAAGATATAGATTATATATATAAGTAGATTATAAAGCAGTGGAACTTCCATGTGACAGTAGAACTAGATATCAAATCCAGCTTGTTTGTTTGCTATTCTACTCCTACTTGTGATCAGCTTAGCACAGTCAACTTTTTCCCAAGTTTTTCACATCTCTTTTGACATTTTCTTTCCTTAGAAAAAAGAGCTCATTTCTATTGTTCTTCCTGCTTTTTGTTTCATAATATCCTATTAATATAGAAAAATATTAGAAGGAAAATAAAGTTTTCTATTATTACAACATTCTGTATTATTCTATACAGGATTTCAGTAACCTCAATCACTTTTCATCAGAATTCCCTCTGAACTGGGCTCAACTGTTGAAGAAATACACAATATTTTCTGGCTACCATAAATATTGTGACCAATTTCTCTTTCCATTTTATTTTGCAATTAATAAGAAAAGTTTATTCATATTCTCCCTGCCACTCCCCACAGAGTCATTAATTGCTATACCACTTGCTTTACATTTAAATATTCTTTCTCTTTGGCTACTTCCAGCTATTGACAAGTTCCCTTGCTTTCATGAAATTTTTTGGTTCTCTGAAACATCAAGAAATAGATAACTAAAAACATTTAAAAATTTTTCGAATGGGCCATTTGGACAGATTGTGATTCAACATCATTCTATTTATAATTCTACAACTCAAAATACCATAATTTGTGATCATGCATATGTCACATCCCCTTAATCCTTCCAATTCATTTAGTATCAGGTAGGGCTCAGACATGGGGTATATGTATTCCCCAAAAGCCTGCTCTCTACATTTTTTCCTGCACAAAATAGTATATAATCCACTTGATCTATCAGAATCAAGTGGCATACCAGATCATGAGCTATCTGTCTCCCAGATGCATTTGTAACTGTATTTTAGCCCACGTGACCATCAGGTACTGTTGTTTCACTCCTATGAAAAGATAGCAAGAGACAAACATTCAATCCCTCACATTCCTGTATCTTTTACACATGCTTTTTATAACTTCTTCTTTCACTGCTAAAAGCCACTATGAACTTTCTACATTCTTCGTGTTAATAATTCTCATTCTCCCTCCATCTGCACTAATGAATTAAGCACATATATTTTATTTTATTTTATTCAGCATATTATAGGAGTACAAACATTTTGGTTACATGAAATGCATGTGCCTCGCTCAAGCCAGGGCCACTAGCGTGTCCTTCCCACATACTGTGTGCCTCGTCTCCATTAACTGTGGGTTTACCCACCCCACCAGCTCTAACCCCATGCCCCTACTCTCCCTACTCCCCGGACCTTACCAACACCAAGTGAGTATTACCACCATGTGAGCACCTTAGTGTCGATCAGTTAGTACCAGTTTGATAGTGAGTACATGTGGTGCATGTTTTTCCATCCTTGTGATACCTCACTTCCAAGGATGGGCTGAATCTCTATCCAGGATAATGTAAGAGGTGCTATCTCCCATTGTTTTTTTATAGTTGAGTAGTATTCCATGGTATACATATACCACATTTTATTAATCCACTCATGTGTTGATGGGCACTTGGATTGTTTCCACATCTTTGCAATTGTAAATTGTGCTGCTATAAACATTCGAGTGCAGATGTGTTTTTTATAGAATATCTTTTTTTCCTTTGGATACATGCCTAGTAGTGGGATTGCTGGATCAAATGGTATTTCTATTTTTAGTTCTTTGAGGTATCTCCATATTACTTTCCACAGGGGTTGTACTAACTTGCAGTCCCATAAGAAGTGTAAGAGTATTCCAATCTCTCCATATCCACACCAGCATTTGTTATTTGGAGACTTTTTGATAGAGGCCATTCAAAATATATGTGCTGTTCAGGGATCAGCCTCCCAAGTGTGGTGAAAGAACCCTGAACAGTACATATATTTTAAAATGCACTCTGAGCGTATCCTCTAACTTTAACCAATACTCTGTAGATGATACTCTGTAATCGATGACCTGCTTGTTGATTGGAATTCCATGTGGTAGTAATGGAACATCTGTTGGGGGGTTAGAAATTTATTGCATATCATATAAAATTTGTGTCCCTTCCTGTAAATACCATCATGAACTCATGCTCCTCAAATCATCTTTACTTTTCTAGATGATTTTAATCACTTTCTGCCCTCTCATGCTCAAATAGTAACTCCTAGGTCACTAGCCATCCTTGTTATGAACCTTTTGTCCCTTTAGCATTACTCCAAAAGCACTGAAATTATGTTTACTTTATGATAAGATAAAGGTCTCACAGCTTCATCCTCATTGTTCTGATCCCAAGGCATGGATTTGGCTACTCTTCATGGAATTCTACTTCTTTCTAGCAGAAATTATTAGTAGCTCCCGAATCTAATCTCTAATAGAGGTAAACTAGGCTGTTTTGATTTAACACCTGGGGACAGCAAAAAGGATCTTTAAGCAACTCTAGTGACAGAAAAAGTCTCTGTCTCTCTGCTGTCCTCCTTCCCACCTCCCTCCCTGTTCCTTGCTTTGGCAAGAAACACATGTTGATTGTGCCTACTAATCTTTAACTTTCATAAATCTCATTTTATAAGAGAAGCTATCAAAACTAAGATTTACAGTTAGAGTGTTTCCTTCAAAAGATATTTTTAAAATTACTTATTTTCTTTTTGGTTGGAGTGACTCTTGGCCCAAGCTACCTGGAATTGCTAGTTGCTTTCAAATTGTGCATTTCTTGTGCTTTTCTTGATTTTAATCCTATGATTAGCAAGTTGGAGAGAAGAAGAAAAGACATGAGCTTCCTCAAGAACTCCCACATTAAAAAAAATCTCAGAGTTTGCAATATTAAAATAATAAAATAATGAAAGATAAAATATATACATAGATGATGACTCATAAGATTTGGTTTAAAATTTTCTCTCTACCACTTTTCATGTTGATCCAGTCTTCGAATGTTTTCTTTCATGTTCTTACTTTCTTCCAATGTTTATATTGTCATTATGGACAATTTAATTGATCATCTTCAATTTACCAGCCTTCCTTGAATATATTCATATTTGTGACTTCCTGGTTTTATTATCCCAACTACTCTACATAAGTTATAAGTCAAGAAATAAAATCATATTTTAGTAAAAAATTGTCAGAAAATATAAGGAGATAACTCCAGAAAATATACAAAGAAAAGCTTCTATAAAATTCCTAAAGCCTAAGCACCATACTTCAGTTACAGTTCAAAAAAAAAAAGACCCAGCTGATAAAGGATTCTTTGACTAGTCTAAAATGCAAATGTTTCTCACACCTGTTTAAATCCAATTCTTATATTTGTTTATACCGGAATATATACCACACATCTGATAACATCATTTTTTGAAATTCTTTCAATAATTACTTTAAACTCTCCTCCCTGTAGGTACATGAGTGGAGCATATACACGCGGAAAACAATGACCCACCTCTTGAACAAGAGCAGGCTCCTGGGAATTGGAGCAAGTGACACCCACCCAGAATTGGTTTTTAGAGCTAGAAAGTTATGTGTTCATGGGGAAAATAAAGAATCAATTTCTTTTCTGAATATATGACCAGAAGGCAATAATACTCATGGAAAGAAGATATAAAATTCATTAAAATATCATTCAAAGAATGCTATATGTCTTTTGCAGGTACTAAATTATGGAAGATTTAGAAACAAATTTATTGAAATTTAAAGGATTTTATTTTCAGCATATAAAACATATTACTGGCTTTTTAGAAAATTTAGATGATTTTGAAATTAGAGATGATGATGTCTTCGTAGTCACATATCCCAAATCTGGTAAGTTCAGAATTCCAGTAGCTAATCTAAGACATAAAATGATACTTCTACAATATGAAAATTTAGTTTTTTCACTAGTATTACATATGGCCACATAGTGTTAATCAAATATTGAACACAACTCACTGTTCAATATCCTATGAAATATGGTTTTTTACAATGCAGTTATAAGTTATTTCTGATTTGGCATTGGAATGGGCAAAATATTAAAACCGTTAGACTTAAAATAACATCAAACACTGAATGCTGAGGTGGGATGAGAAAGGAAGCAAAAATATTCAGCATTTAGTCAGGTATTGGGACATATATTTGAAGAGCATAAGAAGGAGAAAAGTTGACATACTAATTATCATATTACAGAATAATTCCTAAAGATTCTTAAATATCTCTAGGTCATAGATTGGCTTGTTTGATTAAAGCAATACGCGAAATAGGAATTCAGTTATGGAAACCTAAAGGGTTCCCTCTCTCCTTGCCATTGCCTGCTGTATTTTTACTTCCTGCCTGAGGATCTGCCTCAGGGCCTGGTGCCTCCATTCTTTCCTTAAGCTTGATTTTCCTGCTGATGACCCAATATGACTACAGCCTGATTTCAATTCCATTTTCTACTCTGTTTAGCACCTCTCAGATGGCCCAGTTTTAAATCCTGTGTTATACTCTGAAGACACATTCTGTCTGCAGTGACCCATGCTGCTCAATGAGTCTGATAGCTCAGCACACTAGTCCATTTCCAATGCCATAGCTTCCTGGTCACTTTGAAAGAGGTGCTCAAATGGTGACTCTTTAACTTCTTAAAAATAAGATATCTAAACCACAGAAACCTATCACTATTTACATGATCACAGATATTTCAAATAGTCTTTGCATATGTAAAACAGTAATTCTTAGCAAAAAACAATCATGTGCTTTGAAAGGTTTTTAAGTGTCCAAATAAATGAACAGGACCTACTTCTATATTATAAGGTTTCACAGCAGCAGATACAAGGTGTGAGTACTTAAAAATATTTTTGGTCCTTTAGCTGACTTTGATCCAACACAGCTGCCTTAGGGGAGCTCTAAAGGTATGTTGCTGCCTCAGGCCCTTTGCACTCCCTGTCTCCTCTTCCAGGAATGCTCTTCCCCTGGACATCTGCATGGATTATTTCCTCCTCTCCTTTGGTTCCTTATTTTAATATTACTGTATCAGTGAAGCCATTCTGAATGGCCATAACTAAAAGTGCAGGCTCACCAGAAAAATATCCCAAATCTTTTTTGCTGATTAATTTTCCCTTCACGATCTAATATTTATGATCTTACGATGTATGACATATTTTTTACATTTAATTTTTATATTATGTACAGAGCCAGGAAAACCACAGGCATTTATAGAAAAATATATCCATCATATCACATACATATAACTATATTATTTATATCTTATAGGACTATATATCATACATGTAATATATATTAAGTATATATATGTATATATGGTAATTGGTTCACAGGATTATGAAGTCTAAGAGCATGCCCTTAGGTAGGAGGAGACCCATGAGAGACAGTGGTATAATACAGACCAAGTCTGAGAGCCTCAGAGCCAGGGAGACAATGGTGTAACTCCCAGTATGAGGATGAAGCCCTGGGAATCGGGGAGTTTGCTGCTGCAAGTCCAAGGGTTCAATGGCCCAAAAACCAGGAGCTCTCATGTCCAAGGGCCAGAGAAGCTGATGTCCCAGGTCAGGGAGAGAAAGAATTTGCTCTCCCTCCAACTTTCTGTTCTATTTGGGTTCTCAGTGGATTGAAAGATTTCTGGCTGCATTGGTGAGGGAGGATGTTCTTATCCTAATCATTCAAATCCTAATCTGTTCCTGAAACATGCTCACTGACACACCCAGAAATAAAGTTTTACCAGCAATCTAGGCATCCCTTAGCCCACTCAAATTACACATAAAATTAACCATCACATAGACTAACAAGAATTAGAAAGGTGAGTATGCCAAATGCTGATGAGGAGTGGACAGAGATCTACGTGCATTACTGTATTACCCATGGGAGAGGAGACCAGGGCAGCAATTCTCTGAAGAGCAATGTGGCACTACCTGGACACATTAGGTACAGACACACCAAGTGTCACAGAAAAACTCTGGAGATTCATAACTTTGGAGAGGAGAACTTTGTTTCTTTATTTCTCACAGAGAATCACAAGCTCCAGGGAGGAGGCTCAGCCTCTGGCTGAAATTGGAAATCAACCACTTTGAGGCAGGGAAGGATGAGAGAGGAATTTATGCTGAATAGGTTGGCCAAGTATACCTGTTCAATAGATTTTAGAGCCAGTTATGAATGTTCTTCAAGGGGGGATGCACACATGCACAATAAGCAAACATGCATGTCACATACATTCCATGTTCACTTAGGGAGTGGAGACTCCATATAAATGTATTACAGTTGGGCCCTATGCATCAAAAGGTGAAGTAAGAACACAAAGGCACTCAGTGATCAGCCTCTGTAAATTGGCCAGAACTGCTTCAAGGGTGGTGGTCTCTTGTCATGAGAAAGTTACTGAAATCAGTGTCTAGTCCAATCAAAGGTACAATTGTGGTGTGTGGAATAGGGGTTCAGTTAGTCAGCATACGGAAGCCAAGTGAGCTACAATTGTCTCAGTATTCCTTATCACCAGGCCAGTGGGTGTTTAACTGCTAGAAAAAAGAAACACCTTGTGGCACCTGGAACCTAGTTCATACTTTAAATGTAGGGGTGCATGACTGAACCCTTGCCTGGTGTGGCCTTAGGTCCTATTTATAATTTGGTATCTTTTTACCAGAAATAGTCCTTTCCATCAGCCTTATGATCTCAGTTTCAACGCAAGCAATTGCTCTCCTCAATAGTTATCCTAAAGAAATTCTTAAACAGGTCCATGCAAAGGAACAAAATGAGGATGTGCATTGCTATGCTGCTTGGGCGGGGTAGTCCCTCAGTGAGAAAGTGGAAAGGTAAAACCCATGGGTGCACACTATGAAGTAGGAGGCAGCAGCTGATGGGGCAATAGATCAGATATAGGGCATGATGGATCTTAAAATCATAGAGCTCAGGTAAGAAGCATAAAAAATAAGATGATCCACTTAAGTTGAAAATATAAGAACTCACAACGGTGCACATTTCAAAAGAATACACTCAAGCAAACAGATGCACTTTAAAACCAATTCACCGGTTGCAAGGTAGGGGTAGCATTTGAGGTAGGAAATGGGAATAAAAGCAACATACAAGTAGATAAATGAGGGACCGAAATGAATCAGTGATATTAATATGTCAGGAACTGCAGGGAAAGATGAAGATCCCTTTACTGTAACATCTGATATCTTAAGAGAGTAAAAACAAAGAATGTAGAAAAATAGGGAGGGAGAGGGGGAAGGGAAGTGGAAACAGAAGAGGAAGGAGAAGGAGAAGAGGGGGAAGAAATGGAGCCTCTTTTGCATGGGGAACACACTCTTCCAGTTCTCCTGTTCTCAATATCTACAGACCTGTGGCCACCTCTGGTCACCATTGGCAACCCCTCCCCTACCAAAGCTGGTGGCCTTGAAGCTGTGATATCTCTTCTAGAAGCAGCGTCTCTTACCTGGGAAACAGGGAAGGGTGTAAGAAACTCTGTAGAGTTTCATATCAATGAATTTTCAGTGGAATATTTGGTCCAGCTATGACACCAAGTAGGCACATGTGCTCATAGTCTTCCCCAGAAACACTGAAGACTACAGCCACCGATATTTTAAGTAGTCAGAGGTACATATAAGGTACATATCACCTGTACTGCCGTCAAGGGATGCATGCGCAACAATGAACTTACCAGGTGCAGCTGCTGACCAGAGGTTACTGAACTGTCTTTAAAAACAAGAGCTAGGACAGGAATTGTTGAGGAGCAATTCGTTTTCTTGTAGCAGAAATCCGATAAATATCCCTCTGGGACTTGTGACTTTTTGGTGGGGTAAGACATTTCAATACATTTTGACTGAAAATGGAGAAACACTACCTATATACAAGGAATGTTTGAAATCTTATCCCAAATATAAAGCGTACATACGAGGTATAAGAAAACTAAATGTCCACTCTAATCTAAATGCTTTTCTCAGATCCCACTTAAAAGCCAATGGTCAAACTTCAGTTATTAACTTTTCATGTCCGTCTACACGTTGGCCTCAAAAGTCCATTGTAGGTACTTAAAATTAAACACCATTTCCTTAAACAGCAATCATGACCAAAACATGGGAAAGTAGGAAAGATTCAAGGTTACTTCACTGCAATTCCTTTTTTCTGTGATTATATTAGCTAATGCTCTAAGAATGAGGTTTAGGACAAAAACCTAGAGGTGAGCACAGAAGATAATTTGAAAGGTATCATATATGTGAAGCAGAAGAAGCACAAAGAAGAAATCAAAGAACAAACGTGTGTACAAACCTGTACAGAACATCCTAAAGGAAAAATAAAAACAATATATGTTCCATGTAGCCTTATGTCACTTTGCATAAATGAAATTGTCATACAACCTTCTGTAATAACAAACTTTATTTGACTAAAAACTGGTTATATATATTTTTCTGAAATCCATGCATTAATAAAAATAAAATTATTTCTTTTATAGGAACCAGCTGGTGTCAGCAGATATTAAGCTTGATTTATTTTGAGGAACATCGCACAAGAACAGAAAATGTGGAAACAAATCATCGTGTCCCGTTTCTTGAATACTTCTTTAGAGATATAGATTTTGGCAAAACACCATCTCCTCGTCTCTTTGCTACCCACCTCCCACATTACTTGGTTCCAAGAGGGCTGAAGGACAAAAACGCCAAAGTAGGGCATAGAAATACTATTACTGCTGACAATAATTGTTCTCTTTCATTACTTCCTTGTACCTCCTTACACTGACACCACATTCATTCAGCTGGTAGCAAACAGCAAAGGATAAAATTGAACATATTTTACATACTTACATTTTCAGCACACATCTGAGTTCTTCTGTTACAATATTTGAATTATATTTTTCACCTTTTCTCTTTCCTGATTGTATAAGTAATAGAGCCAATTTAAACATTAATAAAGATGTGTACATGCACACATCACATTACCATTCCTGTCCCTCCTACATCCCCAGTGCCTTCCCAGGTTCCCTTTGACACTCCCAACCTAATTCCCAAGCCTCTGTCTCCTTAAAGACCTAGTTACTTTGAAAGTCAAGGGAACTTGAGACCAAGTCATTCTTCTGTATAATGATATTCTCTCTCTTTGTACCTTACTCCCTAGAATAGTGACCACCATCTACTGAAAATGTCAGCACTTCGCTGTCTACCTTCCTTTCTAGCTCTATGCCTGTCCCTCATGTGATTGAACAAGTTCATGGGAATGATCCTCTGGCAGCGCCAGACAAGGCAGAGACTAACAAGGCACCTGGGCTCAACATTTAAGGAGGCACATGGTCTTGGGGTTGTGACAAGTGCAAGATCAGCCCTGGCAAGAGCCTGAGAGTCAGGGCCTCCTTAAAGATTGTAGCTCAGGCTCTGCACTTGTCTCAGCCTGGTCCTAGCCCTGCATAGACTCCTCGTGTTGATTCTTAGACTCCTGTGATCTTTTCCTTCACCCACCTCAGCTGCTGTCTTCTGTAACACATCTCTGTCTATTGACAGCACTGATTGGCATCTGATACAATATATATTTATGTATTAATTTATTTTTAACCTTTCTGGCCAGACCATAGCACCTTCATGGCAGAGGAATAGGTGTGCTCACTGCCGCATTCACAGTGTGTAGAACAGTGCTTGGCAGGCGGTTTGGTTGAAAGAATGAATGAAGGAATCATCTGAACTTAAACTGTGACTTCAAGCCCCTGGTTATCTGGCTGATACCTCCTATTCTTTTTATTCCTTTTAGGGTGCTCCCATTATAAAAGACTTGTAGCCAATGACACAGGAAATGAGTTTACTGGGGATCTAATGAAAGTCTCTTGATTCCTTAAAGAGGCCTTGGGGAAGAAAGAGCAGTGGTGTCTCAGTCATGGAGGAGAGTCAGCTTGTCAGAGCAGAAAAGCAGGGAGACTGTAACTCCCTGATGACAACACTCAGATGATGAGTTAGCCAATTCTGTTCCAAACTAATCTTGGGCTTTCCTGTTTTGTGAGAAAATAGATACCCTTGCTATTCAGAAAACATTACTTGGGTTTTCTCTCTGAGACAATAGTATGCTGAAGTGTTGCCCCTTCCTCGTTACTCCTTTCTCCTCTGTCCAACCTCCTAGTGCTGATGATTCCAGATATTTTCCTCTCCTTGTCCTCGTTCCATATGCAGTTAATTGCTAGGTAATATTATCCAATCACACCATGTTAGATACAATGTATATGTGGTTGAACTCTTTTCTCAATGCTAGAATGACATGAATTATTTAATATTTTCTATTGTATGTGTAATAGACATCTCAAGCATAAAATATCCAAATAGAATATTTTATTTTTTCCTCACACTCTCCACTTCCCAATTTCCCTCTGTCAGGAATATGTGTCATTATCTATATAAGAGGGGTAGGACCAGGAATCGTGGCACAAGTAACTCAGGGATACTATTGATACCTTTACGTGTGTCATTTTTCATAAGCAAATGGATGAATGACAAGAAGGCATTCTTAGACCCAAAGAATCACAGCAAGGAGCTGAAAGAAAGTTCTTTTTTTCAAGACATGGAGGGCCATTTGTTCCTTTCCAGCAATGTCAACAATTGTTGATATCCCATGGCAGAAGGACTATCCTTCAAGGCACCGGGAGACCACTGAGGGTTCAGGAGACCTTCAGATACACCCGGCATTCATCACCTCATTTCACAGCATTAGAGACGAGCTCCAGGCTATGCCCAGGGAGGCTGCAGGGGGATGAAAGCTTCTTTGTACCGAACTTGGAAGTTTTCCCAGAGAAGTAACAAAAGTTATACATTTCATTTGAAAACAAAGATGCAGGCCTACAATTTTACCAGAGCCCCTGCATATTCTGTGCGAAGATAGACTGAGCCAGTGAGTTGTGGCTTAGGGTAGATATTGATGATTGTTTGTATTCCAATATGACTGGATTGTTTAATTGTTACTTGGAATTAGTTTATTCTGGTTGGTTCTGCTAGACAATTTAAAAAAAGAAATGTAGGCTCGTCCGAGTGCAGTGGTGTTTGCAAATAATTGATCACAGCCAAGATTCCTGTTGTAAATGGTTCCTGTGTTCTTTCTCCACTCTCACTGTTTCACTTGAGTAGCCTAAAACAACCCAGATGACAAAAAATAAACAAAAAAACCCACCAAACTCTCCATTTCTGGATAGTTTCAAAGCAAAAAATACTTAGAAAGTAACTTGTGTGTGCAGAGCACTTGTGCTTGTCTCAAGGATGTACAAATAAAAATTAGGTGCCCCTTACGTTGAAAGATGAGTAAAGCAAACCATAAATTTTACAATATGAGTTTAAACCATTTTAGTGAATTATTGCTATTCTCACATATTTTTATAGTTTACAAAGCATTTTCACATGCATTAGTGAGTCAGTTGATTTAGGGGTTAAAAGAATGAAGTTGCTCCCTCTGCCTGGGGGAGATAAGAAGAAGTAACTTCTGAGATGTGTCTTGAATGGTGTTGCAGAGAAAGGGAAGCACTAAATATAAAGGAGAAGGCATGAATGTTGAGGACACAGGGAATTATGAAAGCTAAAAATAATAGGTTTAACCCAACTGAGATGTATTCTGAAGAAAATATGATAAGTGAAAGCATCAGAAAGAGTAATTCCTTTTTTTTCTTTGCAGATTATATACATATACAGAAACCCTAAGGATGTTATGTGCTCATATTTCTATTTTTTAAACACGTATCCAGCATTTAAAGCTGCGGACACCATTGAGGCATTTATGAAACAATTTTTGGAAGGGAAAGGTAACTGCCATTATTAATCAAATAATACATGTGCTGTGCTGTGGCGAGTTTTCCAGCTTTATGAATATGGAGGGAGGAAATGAGGGTGGTGAAAAGAGAGTAGATTGGCAGTCAGTGGTCAATTTATCAACTTGTTTGAAGGATTCTCTAGGAGGACCAAGTCCTGCCACTCATGCCAATTCCTCTAGTCTCACCCACTCTCAAGAGGTTGCCTAGATTACAAAATCACTTACCATGAAAACCATGAGGACAGATTAGTGTTTCAGTAACTCAGAAGTGTCTGTTCTAGCTCAGCTGAGAAGAGAATTCAGTTGAGATCACAACTGCTTTAGTGCTTTGTCATTGCATATTGCATGTGGCACCTCCCAGGGGTGACTGTCTGAGAGTTCCCTTCCCCTTTGTTTTTCTAAGGATCCAACAAAGATGGGCGAGAAGGAGCAAGGCCTGCAGAGACAGACATGATAATATCACACAGGACCGTTAAGCTTAGGTTCTGATCCAATGTGCAGAGCTGCAGTGACTCCTCCAGGACCCTATCGTGGCTTACGGAGAGGAGAAATGTCTGTGTGTATGTGTTTGGTGACAAGAAGAGGAGCAGGAAGGAGAGGAATAGTTGATCCAGCTCCTCTCCATTTTGGTCCTTCCTCATCCCACTTTAGGGTCTTTTTCTGTTCATACAAACTGCATTTTAAAAGACTAACTTTGATTTTATGTAATTGTTCCCTTGTCAAAGCTAAATGCTTCCCCAGTAACCATATGGCAAGGAAAATCTAGAAACTAGCAACAGACGTCTGTTTCCTCTTTGGTTACTAAAGATTCCCACACCTCATAACCTGTTCAGCCCTCTCAACATATTTACCTAATTACTTACCTCTTCTTCCCACAGTGATAGGAAGCACTTGGTTTGACCATATCAGAGGTTGGTATGAGCACAGAAACAACTTCAATATTCAGTTCATGATGTACGAAGAGATGAAGAAGGTGAGATGTGATCACGTTTGTGCTTTGATCTAAGCTCTAACTCAGCCTGGCCTAATGAATTCATAGAGCCAAAGAACAATATGGAATTTGAGATCCAAGATTAAGCTTAACATGAGGCTTTTTTCTGGTATCATCCCCTTATCTGTGTTGTCTTCAGTTAAGCCTTGCATAACAAATTAAATGAAAACATCCTATACAGTAGACCAGCTCCCTCACTGGAATCCATTGAAAGTCATCGTTCAGCAGAAGGGTTTGTAATGAAAAAAGGAGAGAAAAATTACATAAACAAGAAAATTTTTGTGTTTCCTTGGTAAGATTCTGGCTCCCAGGAGCAGTCAACTATAAGTGGCTTAAAATACCAGAACATCTATTGTTTATTAACTGACATGCATAGGTTGGCTATCCTGAGGCTGGGCATGGCAACTCAAGGATGTCGTGAATGTCTCAAGCATTTTCTACCTTTCCATATTGTCATATTTTCTATATTAGTGACGTCTCTCCTCATAATTATAAGAGAGTAGTCAGGGCTTCAAACTCAGTTCCTCATCTAGAAGTCCCTGATGGAAGAACAGAGGGACTGGGTCCCTTGTTTTGTTGCTGGCTTTTCTCCAGGTTGAAAGTCAATCTCAGAACCTTCTTTCAATCGCCTTCCTCTTTCTGTTTCAATGGCCAGAGTTGGGTCTAATGTGTGTGTCCAATTGGGTCCATGTGACCAATTTGCAGCCTCCTTACAGTCTGGTCCTGTCCATCTCTCCAGGCCTGTCTCCTACTTTCTCATCCCAAGCCTGTTTCCATCAAAAGCTCTGAGGATACCAGGTTTCTAACATTTTTGTTGCCTGATGTTTCATGCGTATCTGATATTTCATACATACCAGAAAACTGTAGTATTGTGTGTAGTACTTCCTCTTAATTTTATTCCACAATCACTCTCTTGCCCTAGATCTTGGACTCAACTCCCAGCACCCATTTCCTTCCTGTCCCCACATCACCCAGGACATTGTCTGACAGTAGAAACTTTGCTAAGTGAACACAGGGACAATGAAAAATGTGCAATTAACCAAATTAAGCTCTCAAACAGCAGACAAATGAAATGTTTACCAGTAAGTTATTAGAAGGTCAGGTTGCACTGTCCAACTCCAAACTTACAACCAGCTGAAGGACCTGCATTTTTCACTCCTGCAATGATATTTAGCTGTGACACTTGCATATTTCTCCCTTCTTATAATTTCCATAATTTATCATACTGTGATTTATTTCAGGATCTCAGAAGTTCTGTGTTAAAACTCTGCAAATTTCTGGGTGAAGATCTGAGTGAGGAGGCCGTGGATGCCGTGGTGAGACAGGCCACATTCGAGAACATGAAGGATGACCCGCTAGCAAACAATGAAAATTCACTCTCCAGGAACTTTGGGTCAAAACTAAGAGAAGGCCATTTCCTTCGCAAAGGTGAAGCTCAGCAGTGAAGTAGTGAACAGTTGTTTTCCACTGTGGTGCAGATGGAACAGAGTATAGCCCTGGGGTTTCCTGGTAGATTTTCAAACAGTGGAGTCCTCTTGGCCCTCTTCCCTTCTCTAGTCAGTTTCTTTTACATGATGTCTGCCTGGAGCTCTCCATGAAACTACATTATTTGGTTTCTAAAGGGTATCTGATGGATAACCTAAAATCTCAAGATCTTCTATATAGCCTCTGAAAATCTACTAGCACAGTGCCTACCTGCCACCAAATAGATATTCCCCTAGGATTAGATGATTCCTCCTCCTAAACAGGGTCACAGCACCTGACAATGAAATTTTGACAAGCCTATTGGTCATCACTTGTTCTCCTGCATCTCCATGATTTATCCTGGAACTCTGACTGTAGTGAATAAACAACATACAAGGTTGTTCTTTTGTTATTGAGATGACTGTAGCATGTCTTTTATTAAACTAGTATAACATGTTAAAAAAAATTTATAGATATATTTCATTTTTCTGGCCTCTGAGGAATGAGGTTTTAGAACACATGGATTCTACATACAATTGCTAGAAATAAAAACATTAAAATATTTTAATTACTTTACTCTATCATTCCATATTATATTTCATATTTGTTAACGTAGTATTACACCGAATTATAGACATAGGTTTAGCAGTTGATAATTTCATAGAGTTATATACCTTATGTCAAGAAGCAATAAATATTGGGTTTGTATTTCTCTAAGTCAGTTTTTCCTTCCCTTCCTCTCTTTGGTGTGTCCTTTCCCCTTCCACTGAAATACCTGAAGCGCTGGTAGCACTCAGCTGACCTGAAGTGGGTCACGCCCATTGCCATTAGGCCAAACACACCCTACTGTCTTCCAGATGTTCAGACAATTGCCCACCTTCCTTAGCACTGCACTTGCATTTGTATTTGAAAGAGGACATTTTCTGTGATTGTGTGTCCTTAGGAAACACTGACAATGAGAGAATGATATGAGTATAAGAAAAATAAGAGTGAGCAAAATGTCTTTGTGGGAGTGAGCCATGTGTTTATTTTAAAGAGACTCAAACAGGTCTATCCTTGACTTTATCCATCTTATCATCGTTTGCTGTGGCCTTAGCAGTCCTGCACTAGGTGTTTGTGTTCTTAGTTCATTCAGTGCTTCAGTTGTCTTTATCAGTTTTCAGTGTCTTTTCAGCACAACCTGTTTTTCAAAGAAAAAGAATGTTTGTCATTGTTTGTCTCTCTTTCTATAAGCTACTATTCCTCATGACACCTGTGTGTCTTTTGAAGTTTAGTTTAATGCCAACACACAAGTAAATGGGGTAAAGGTAGAATAATTTCATCTCAGCCATCATAGACTGTATGATCTTGGGCTGTTTTACAAAATCTCTCCGAGCATCCAAATTTTTACCTGTAAGTATTATCTCAGTGATGATTTATTGTATAGAATTTTTAAGAGACTTCTGTAGAATATGGAAACCAGTGTGATCTTAGAACAAAAACTGTGATCAAGTTGCAGTAGTTTTCAATTTCCCAGGTGCTGACACTGAGAATTTGGGTGATGATTGTCTCTAATTATAGTAAAATTGCAATGATAAGTGTGTTTATCTGCTTGCCATAAAGTGAGAGAGTGAAGAGTCTTAGCCAGGTAGAGGAATACCTTGGAACATAATATGCAGAAAATAAAAGTGGGAAAAACTTTTCTCCCAGCACTGAGTTACAGATTTGTTTTGCCCCTCACTACATGACAAAACTTCACTGAAGCAATTTCTCTGTTATTTTCCACTAGGTGCCATTGGAGATTGGAAATATCACATGACCGTCGAGCAGAATGAAAGATTTGACAAGATTTTCCAAAAGCAGATGAAAGACTTTCCATTGCAGATCATCTGGGATGTGAATGAAACACAGCATTAAGCTCAACACAAAGAATCCTAAGAATACACCTTCACCAGAAAATACATTGAATCATACACTTCAATCTTTGACTCTCTGAACCATGTTGCAAAATCTCACTCATTAATGAATATTAATCCCTTTATGTTTCTGCCATCAGGAGAGTTTCCCATGTCCTGGGATTTCCCTTTTTCTGATACACTGAGTATTACCCATATCATTTTTCCATATGATCATGGACAACTGTACCCTTTACTTTTACGTTTACTTACAAACTGCTTGTGATCTTCCTGACATAGTCAAAATTTTAATTTTATGTAATGACATGAGTCAAACATTCATTTTATGATTCGTATAGTTTATGTTTTACTTTGGAGGACTGTTATCTCAAATTCATTTAGGTATTCATGGATCATATCCTTCTTTTATTTGGTTATTATTCTCATGCTGTAAGAAAATTATTCAATTTTTTCTTCTTACAGATAACAAGTTGATGCAGCATCACTTATTGTTCACCATTTTCTTAGTGCTTAAAATAGATGTTATTATGTTCCAACAGAATTGTTTGTACTTATTTTGACTCTGTATACATCGCTCTGCTTTGATTCCTTTTATCAAAACCATGGCAAATAAATATCTGAAATAATGTTAAGAACTCTCATATAGAATCCTGTTGGATTTTTTCTCCCCTTCTGTAGGTTGTCTGTTTGCACTCAGGATAGTTTCCTTGGCTTTGCAGAAGCTTTTTATTTTGATCAGGTTCCATTTATTTATTTTTGTTCTTTTGTTGTTGCTATGAGTTCCTCTGTGGTCTTCTTCATAAATTCTTTGCCTAGACCAATGTCTATAAGAGTTTTTCTCGCATTTTCTTCCAGAATTCTTATAGTTTCATGCCTTAGATTTGCATCTATTATCCACTGTGAGTTGATGTTTGTGAGAGGTGTGGATCTTGTTTCAGTCTTCTACATGCGACTATCCAATTTTCCCAGCACCATTTATGGAATAAGGATTCTTTTCCCCAGTGTATGTTTTTGTCTGCTTTGTCAAAGATTAGATGGCTATATGAGGATGGTTTTATATCTGGGTTCTCAGTTCTGTTTCATTGGTCTATGTCTCTGTTCTTGTGCTGTTCCGGTTACTATAACCTTGTAATGTAGCTGGAAGTCTGGTAAATTGATGCCTCTCAATTTGTTCTTTTTGCTTGAGATTGCTTTTGCTATACAGGGTCTTCTCTGGTTCCACATGAAGTGTAGAATTATTTTTTTCTAGGTCTGCACAAAATGATGTTGGTATTTTAATAGGGATTGCATTGAATGTATAGATCACATTCGGTATTATAGACATTTTAACAACGTTGATTCTGCCGACCCATGAGCATGGTATGATTTTCCACCTTTTTACGTCCTCTGCTATTTGTTTCCTCAGTGTTTTGTAGTTCTCCCTGTAGAGGTCTGCACATCAAGGAAACTATCACAAGTGCAAACAGACAACCTACAGAATGGGAGAAAATATTTGCATGTTACACATCTGATAAAGGGCTGATAACTACAATCTCTATAGAACTCAGGAAAATCAGCAAGAAAAAAACAAACAACCCTATCAAATAGTGGGCAAAGGACAAGAACAGAAACTTTTCAAAAGAAGATAGACTAATGGCCAACAAACATATGAAAAATCCTCAATATCTCTAATAATCAGGGAAATGCAAATCAAAACCACAATGAGATATCACTTATCTCCAGTGACAGTGACCTTTATTAAAAAATCCCCAAACAATGAATGCTGGTGTAGATGCAGAGAAATAGGAACACTCATACACTGCTTGTGGGACTGCAAACTAGTACAACCTCTGTGGAAATGAATATGTAAGTAAGTATGTATGTAAGTAACTACCAAGAGAATTTCAACACCCTGTTGGGCTGTTACTCCCCCTCAATATATCTTCCTTCCTATTCCTCTTTCCCCAATGGACTACACAGAACAAGCTTAGTGCCCACATGCCAATGGAGGGAGGCTTTGCCAGCCTGTCTATGTTGGGTCTTCTTGATCTTTGCTCACCTTTACCACGAGGAGTCTCATTAAAACTTATCTAGAGGAGACTCATTCCACAGGGGTCTTTTACATGAAACTGGGAAATACTGACGGTCGCCATGGACCTTACCTTGTCTAAGACCTCAAGTTTGTCACACTCAGTAGCCTCCTTATCCCTAGCCCTTATCTTGTGGCCAGTACATGCTCTTAGCCTTCTTTATTCTTTACAGGACCTTGATAGAACAGTATAGTCTACAAAACAGTTCTCAACACAATCATATCCCCAGTTGTTTTGGTTTTACGTTTTCCTTTTTTACTCCACAATTCTCTGTGTTTTATATTAGGCATAATTGACATACTATAATAGTCATGACACTACACCCTACAGTTGATGTGTTCTGTAAAATGTATATGTTTTACCAACCCAGAAGTTTCCCAAGTACTCTTCTACAGCCAATGTACTGTACCACAGAGGCAACCATTGTTTTGATTTTCTTAGTTAATATCGGTAGTTTTTCCTGTTCTACAACTCCATATAAATGGTATCAATCATCTTTTACTGAACATAAAATGGTTGAGATTCATCCATGTTCTGATGTACACCAGTACTTCCTATATTTTTGTACTGCTTAGTAGTATTCTATTACATAAAAGTTACAAAGATTTGTTTATTTCCTTTTTGATGGCCATTTAGGTTTTTCCAGTTTGGGACTACTATGAATAAAACCATTATGAATAGTCTTGAGCAAGATTTTTTTTTGACATATACTTTTATATATCTTGCATAAGCACGTAGCAATAAGATCATTAAGTCATAGACTAGAGGTATCGTTGACCATATAAGAAAATTCCAGTTTTCCAAAATGATCGTATCATTTTACACTCCCAGCAGCAGTGTCAGAGGGTTCCAGTTGCTCCACATTCTCACCAACATTGGGATTCTCAGTCTTTTTTTTTTCCAATTTTAGACATTCCGGTAAATGCGAAGTATTTTCTTGTTATTTTCTTCATATTAAAAAAGATTGCAATTTTTGTACTCTCCTGAAATAAAAAGCACAGAAAATATGACCTATCTATACATGTGACTTGAAAAACAATTAAAAATAATTCCCTGACTATAAAGGAGATATAAAAAGAAAGTAACAAAATGAAATAAGATGCATTTACGTATGAAATACTCAAGAATTACTAGACTACATGCCATAATAAAGTAGTCAAATTATTGCAGTTATAAGTAGAATCACGATACATTTAAAAACTGTGACTGTATATGATAGATACACTGTCTTGGCAATTCTGTGCAATATGGGGCATGTAATTGATAATGTTACATTTTCAAATGTTGGAAAGTTCCTGATAAATTTCTAAACATAACAAAGTTTACTCTTCCCTCAACTTGCATGGCAATTTCATTCTTACAGCATTCAGTGGTTATTAAAACTTTTCAAAACAATATTTGCATTTTTATGCCAAATGAAATTTGTTTCCACACTCAGGTAGCTACATGGGGCTTTTTCACAGGTATGAGTGTCCAGAGGATCATTTCAAATTTAGGACAGTTTTTGTTCTGTGGGACTGTTCTCACAACAGAAAATATTTAGGACCTCTGGCTTCCACCCATCCCAATATATTGTGAGGACCAGAAATGCTCCTACACATTCCCAACACCCACACAGAAACACTCTCCCTACCATGATTCAGTGTCTGTGGGCACTAGCCAAGGGCACTGCTAGCTGAAGATCTGTCCTACCAAACTCTGCCCTCGGCCAGTTCTGATGTACCATTCAGTCACCTTGGTATTTGAATTTAAATCATTTAGTAAGATGCTTTAGCTTGGTTTCCCCTAGGAAACAGACTGGGATTTTCATGAAGGCAGGGAAATGCTCTCAGGAACAATCTCTGGGAGAATGAAAGCAGCATGACTGGGCAGAGGGAGAAGCTCAACTGCAATGCACTTGCAACAGAGGCCACATGACCAAAGAGGGAGCTAAGGAGCAGGGATGCTCTTCAGAGTTGTTCTAAATTGGGGCAGTTTTGCTGCTACACATGTCAGTGCAGGGCAACATTTGTGCAACTGCAGCTAAAGGAGGCAGAGCCTGTGCAGCTAAGTCACCTTTTTTCTATATTATGTTTTTGTTTAAATGAAATAATGGCAAAAAGAAGATAAGTGTTCATCTTCATTGTAATTTACTCGTGTAAGGCAGGTGGAGTAGAGGGTGATGGGAAAGAGGAAAGATTCATAGGCAAAGCCCCGAGAAAAACTTCACTGGTAACTGACCAATTAGGAATGTGTTGATCAATTTTTCTTTTTTAAAAATATGTTGATCATGTGAAGGAACTATAATAGATTACAAAACCATTTACCATGAAAAGAGTGAGGACAGATTAGTGTTTCAGTAACTCAGAGGTGTCTGTCTCAGAATTTCTTTCCCCTTTGTTTTTCTAAGGATCCATCGTAGCTAGGTGAGAAGGAGCAAGGCCTGCAGAGACACAGATGATAATATCACACAGGAGGCCTAAGCTTAGGTTCTGATCCACTGTGCAGAGCTGCAGTGACTCCTCTTGCACAGTATGGTGGCTCATGGAGAGGAGAAATGGCTATGTGTTTGGGTTTGGGGACAGTAAGAGGAGCAGGAAGGAGAGGAATGGTTTGTCCAGCTGCTCTCTATTTTTGGTCTTTACTCACTCCACATTAGGCTGCTTTCTGTTCATACAAACCATATTTTAAAAGCCTAACTTGTGTTTGATTTTGTGTAATCATTCCCTGGTCAAAGCTAAATGCTTCCCCAATAACCACATGGCAAGGAAAATCTAGACACTGGCAACAGACGTCTGTTTCCTCTTTGGTTACTAAAGTTTCCCACACCTCATAACCTGTTCAACCCTCTCGACATATTTACCTAATTACTTACCTCTTCTTCCCACAGTGGTAGGAAACCTTTGGTTTGACCATATCAGAGGTTGGTTTGAGCACAGAAACTACTTCAATATTCAGTTCATGATGTATGAAGAGATGAAGAAGGCGAGATGGGACCTCATTTGTTCTTTGAGCTAAGCTCTCACCCAGCCTGGCTTAGTGAATTCATAGTTCATGCCACAACACCCAAAGAACAATGTGGAATTTGAGATCCAAGATTAAGCTTAACACGAGGCTTTTTTCTGGTATCACTCCCCTTATCTGTGTTGTCTTCAGTTAAGTATAGGAACAAAAAATTAAATGAAAACATCATATATAGCAGAGCAGCTGCCTCACTGGAATCCATTGAAAGTCATCCTTCGACAGATGGTTTTGTAATGAAAAAAGAGGAGAAAAATTACATAAACAAGAAAATGTCTGTGTTTCCCCCATGAGAATCTGGCTCCCAGGAACAGTCAGCTATAAGTGGCTTAAAATACAAGAACATCTATTGTTTAGTAACTCAGATGCAGAGGTTGGCTATCCTTAGGCTGGGCATGGCAACTCAAGGATGTCATGAATGTTTCAAGCATTTTCCACCTTTCCATATTGTCGTATTTGCTGTATCAGTGATGTCTCTCCTCATAATTACAAGACAGTTGTCAGCACTTCAAACTCAGGTCCTCATCTGGAAGCATTTGTTTCAGGGAGAGAGAGACTGGGTCCCTTGTTTTGTTGCCACCTTCTCTCCAGGACAAAAGCCAATTCCGAAGCTTCTTACAGTTGACATCCTCTTTCTGTTACAATGGGCAAAGTTGGGTCTGATGTGTGTGTCCAGTTGGGTCCACGTGACCAATTTGCAGCCTTCCTTACAGTCTGGTCTTGTCCATCTCTCCAGGCATGTCTCCTACTTTGTATCCGAGGCCTGTTTCCATCAATCTCTGAGGATACCAAGTTTCTAACTTTTTTGTTTCCTGATATCTCATACATACCATAAAACTATAGTACCGTGTATTTGTTTTCTTATGTTCACACTGCATATCTCTGGTTTTTTCTATCTAGAAAATTACTGTTCTTCCTTCAAGACCCAGAATAATATCTGTTCTTTTTTGTAACTTTCTCTTAATTCTATTCCACAATCACTCCCTTGCCCTAGATCTTGGATTCAACTCCCAGCACTGATTTCCTTCCTGTCGTCACGTCACCCAGTATAGTGTCTGACAGTAGCAACTTTTCTAAGTGAACACAGAGAAAATGAAAAATGTGCAATTAACCAAATTAAACTGTCAAATAGCAGACAAAAGAAATATTTACCTGTAAGTTATGAGAAAGTCAAGTTGCACTGTCCAACTCCAAAATTACAACGAGCTGAAGTACCCACATTTTTCACTCCCACAATGATATTTAGCTGTAACACTTGTCTATGCCTACCTTCTTATAATTTGTATAATTTATCATACTGTGATTTATTTCTCAGAAGTTCTGTGTTAAAACTCTGCAAATTTCTGGGTGAAAACCTGAGTGAGAAGACCGTGGATGCCGTGGTGAGACAGGCCACATTTGAGAACATGAAGGATGACCTGCTAGCAAACTATGAAAATACATTCTACAGGAATTTTGGGTCAAAACTGAGAGAAGGCCATTTCCTTCCCAAATGTGAAGCTCAGCAGTGAATTAGCGAACAGTTGTTTTCCACTGTGGTGCAAATGGAACAGAGTATAACCCCGGGGTTTCCTGGTAGATTTTCAAACAGTGGAGCCCTCTTGGCCCTCTTCCCTTCTCTAGTCAGTTTCTTTTACATGATATCTGCCAGATGCTCTCCATGGGACTACATTGTCTGGTTCCTAAAGGGTATCCCTAAAGGGAACCAATGTGATCTTGGAACAAAACAGTGATCAAGGTGCAGTAATTTTCAATTTCCCAGGTGCTGACACTGAGAATGTGGGTCATGATTGTATCTATTTAACGTAAAATTGCAATGATAAGTGTGTTTATCTGCTTGCCATAAAGTGAGAGAGTGAAAAGTCTTAGCCAGGTAGAGGAATGCCTGGGAGCTTAATGGGCAGAAAAATAAAAGTGTAAAAAAGGTTTCTCCCAGCACTGAGTTACAGGTTTGTTTTGCCCCTCACTACACAACAAAAGTTCACTGAAGCAATTTCTCTGTTATTTTCTAGCAGGTACCATTGGAGACTGGAAATATCACATGACCATAGAGCAGAATGAAAGATTTGACAACATTTTCCAAAAGCAGATGAAAGACTTTCCATTGCAGTTCATCTGGGATGTAAATGAAACACAGAATTAATCTCAGCACACAGAATCCTAAGAAAGCACGTTGAATTACATTGAATCATACACTTCAATCTTTGACTCTTTGAACCAACTGTAAATTCTCACTGATGAATGAATATCAATAACTTTATATTTCTGCCATTAGGAGATCTTTCCATGTCCAGGTATTTATCCTTTTCTGATTCACTGAGGATTCCTCATATCATTTTGGCATAGAATCATGGACAGCTAGACTCTTTACTTTTACATTTACTTACAAACTGCTTATGATCTTTCTGCCATATTCAGAATTTTCATTTTTATGTAGTAACATGAGTCAATGTTCCATTTCATGGTTTCTATTTTTTATGTCTTACTTTGGGGGACTGTTATCTCTAATATATTCACATATTCCTGGGTCATATCTTTCTTTATTGACCATTAGTCTATCTTCTTTTAAAAAGCTTCTGTTCATGTTTTCTTCCTTCTTTTTAATGGGGTTGTTTGATTTTTTTCTTGTTGATTTGCTTGATTGCTTTGTAGATTATGGTTATTGTCCCTTTCTCAGATATATAGCTTGCAAATATTTTCTCCCATTTTGTAGGTTGTCTGTTTGCTCTGTTGATTGTTTCCTTGGCTGTGCAGAAGCTTTTTAATTTGATCAAGTTCCTTTGTTCCTTTTTGTTGTTGCTCTGATTGCCCTTGGGGTCTTCTTCATAAATTCTTTGCCCAGGCCAATATATAGAAGAGTCTTTCCAACATTTTCTTCTAGAATTCTTATGGTTTCATGTTTTAAATTTAAGTCTGTTATCCATCCTGAGTTAATTTTTGTGAGTGGTGAGAGATATGGATCCTGTTTCAATCTTTTGCATGTGGCCATCCAATTTTCCCAGCACCGTTTATTGAATAGGGACTCTTTTCCCCAGTGTGTATTGCTGTCTACTTTGTCAAAAATCAGTTGGCAATATGAGGATGATTTTATTCCTGAGTTCTCTGTTCTCTTCCACTGTGCTATGTCTCTATTTTTGTGCCAGTACCATGCTGTTTTGATTACTATAGCCTTGTAGTATACTTTAAAGTCTGGTAAAGTGATGGTCCAGATTTGTTCCTTTTGCTTAAGTTCGCTTTGGCTATTTGGGCACTTTTCTGATTCCAAACGAAGAATAGAATTATTTTTTCTATATCTATGAAAAATAATGCTGGTATTTTGATGGGGATTACATTGAATCTGTAAATCATTTTGGGTAACATGGACATTATAAAATGTTGATTCTACCGATCCGTGAGCAAGATATGTTTTTCCATTTGTTTGTGTCCTCTGTTATTTCTTTCCTTATTGTGTTACAGTTCTCCTTCTAGTGATCTTTCACCTCCTTGATTAAGTATATTCCTAGTATTTTGTTTACTTTGTAGCTATCATTAATGGTATTGAGTCTTTGATTTGACTCTCAGCTTGATTTTTTTTAGTATATAGAATGCTACTGATTTATGTACATTGATTTGATAACCTGAGACTTTGCTGAATTTATTTATCAATTCCAGGAGTCTCTTGGTGGAGCCTTTGGGGTTTTCTAGATAAAATATCATGTCATCAGCGAATAGTGACAGTTTGATCTTCTCTTTCCCAATTTGGATACCCTTTATTTCTTTTTCTTGCCTGATTGCTCTGGCTAGGACTTCCAGCACTACATTGAAGAGAAGATGTTTTTACTTTACACGTTAAAATTAAGAAACTTCCTGCCATAAAAGCCAGTCCCCATTAGGACCATTTGACAAATTAAAAATAATAAAAATGCTGTTGACCCCCTTTCCTCTTCCAGGAAATCGATAGGCACAGGAAACCCTCCCCTAACACTGAACAATTCTTATTCTTTTAAAATGTTCCGAAACTGCTCACTTGTCACCTTGCAGCCAATGAAGGATGGCCATATGTTCCAGAAGAGACCTTACTTCAAAGAATAATACAATAATGGGATGCTTACCAAACCAAGTCTTTTTGATGACTGTCTAACTCAGTCAGCAGAGCATGAAACTGTTAATCCAAGATTGCCTGAATAAATTTTCTTTTTGCTCTACATAATGACTCTCCTTTCATAAACCTTTTAACTGTTGCTGAAATGAAATTCACAGAAGATGGGTTCCTTTGCTGCAAGATTAAAAATAAACAGAAGTTAAATCCATCTTGGACTTACTTTGGGTTTGAATTTGTTATGCTTTATCAATCTTTCCCTCCACCTTTATTTACTAAGAAAATTACTGTTTCCATGTGATACCCATATCAGAATCCAAAATCACTAAAATTTCGATCACCTAATACATTCCCTTTCCACTATCTTGCTTGCATCAGTGAGAAGTTTGCTTAGTGAGAAAATGCATTGAGTAGAAATTTTGAATGAAAATGTACTTGTCCTATCCTAACAAATTTTTAGCAAGGTTGAAATTATATAAAAATGAAATGAAAATACAAATATACACAAAAGCCAGGTACAGTTGCAGGTGATTGTAATCTCAGCTACTCAGGAGCCTGAGGTGGACGATTGCCTAAGTCCAGGAATTTGAGACCAGCTTCAGAAACATAATGAGACTGTGTCTCGAAACAAAATAAAATAAAACAAAACAAAAAACAGAAAAAGATTCAGTAAAAAATATATGCATAACAGATAAATCGACTGGTGACAGTCCTGTGATATGATAGGACATTTGTGATATGAAGAATAATGACAGGCAATGGAGCTGTTATGTGCTGTGCCTGGTGAAAAAATATTGTAACTTTGCTTTCAAAGTTTGGTGTTCAATTTGCACATTAGTAAACTCAAATTTATTAGTTAGCCAAACATTGAGCAAACCCTGAGTAAATGGGCAACACTGATCAAATTGATAAAATCAATAACTCAATTCATGATTTCTCACTATAGTGTGTAAAAAATCAAGTGTATAAGAATGCCTTAGTACATCACATTAGGTATGTACTTCTGTAGGGATAGCACATTAATTTCTTTCCATCTGTCTTCATGTACTGACACAGATAAGTTGGGTTGTCATTGATATATACTCTTCCTTCTTCTAGCAGACTTTTAAAGTAGTTTGTGGGAATATCTTCTTATTTAGCTCTGCCTTCTCTTACACTCTATTTTGTCATATCAGTTTATGGAAGGCTTAAACCTGTTGCTTAGGGAAAAAATTATTTCCTTAAGCAGTTGTGTTTTGCCAGAAGACAAGTCCTAAATCTGAGTTCGGTTAGACAATAATGAACCAATGATTGAAATGAGACTTCAGTATCCTTATTTGTGTTAAATAAAGAAGAATGCTCTTGAGTGGAAAATAACATTATTTGGAATTTCTATAGTTTTCTTATACATGTTTTATAGCATATAAGAACTTACTAGACATGTGAAGATTCAAAATCATATTGTAGATAACCATAGAATAAATAGACAATAGAAACAGATCTAGATGTGACCAGATATTTGAATTGGCAATGAAGACTCCTAAAGAATAGTGGTTAATTTATTTAAGAAAATGAAGTAGAAGACAAACAGATAAAAGAACTGATCATGTACTAGAAAATTAAAACCATTAAGAAGATATCAAATGGACATTCTAAAAGCATGTAATATTGGAATGAAGACATCAATAAAGGAATTTGATCATCCATTGTTATTGAGTACACTGGAAGATAATGCTTGTGATCCAGAAAACGAGTTATTAGGAAGACTCACGTTAAGATACAAAGAGAAAAAAAGGATAATACCAGTAACAGAGTAAGAGATAGGAGGACAACAGTAAAATTTCAACAAAACAACACACGTGATTAGAATCCTAGAATGAGATGAGAAAAAGAAGCAATCTTCAATGACATAATGCTACATTGTTCCAAAAAAGATAAAAGAGATCAACCCACAAATATATGTGACTTAACAAATCACCCTCGGGATAAACACAGAAATAAATACCCTAACACATTCATGGTAAAACTGCTAAATACTGAGATATAGCATTAAAGGCAGCAGAGGGGGAAAAAAAAGAAAAAAGTTATCTTCAAAGAAACCACACTAGTGCCGACATTAAACTTGTTTACAAAACTCTAGGGTGGTAGAAAACAATAGAATAATGTCTTTGAGTGATGAAAATTATGAATATAATTGCTAACTAGAATTTTATGCCCTGAGCATATGCTTTAACAGTAAAAGTGAAAATGCCTACAATTTCAGAAACAGAGAGAATATGTTCTCTCAATTAGAAGAAATACTAAAGAGCAGATATCAGTAAGAAATAAAAGAGTTTCCTAATAAAGATAGAAATCTAGGAGGAACAATGACAAAAAAAGAAAGAGAATATCTGTGGAAAATGTAAATAAATGTTAA